CCAACTTTGCGCCAAGACCTGGATTTGGAACACTTGGAACTAAATGCATTGTTAAAGCTAACCATTTCCTTGCAGATTTGCCCAACAAGGATTTGATTCAATATGATGTAAGTTCAAAGAAAAGATTTTACCTTTTTTTAATTTTGTTGGATAAAGACTTTTGGATGATTTCTCTGATTTTGAAATTTAATTCTCTCAAGTCGTTATCTTATTAATTATTGTTCTTATTGTTTTGGGTCCATGGTTTGATTTTTGCAGGTTACAATAACTCCTGAAGTGTCATCAAAGAGTGTAAACAGAGCTATAATTGCTGAGTTAGTGAGACTATACAAAGAGTCTGATCTCGGGACTAGACTTCCGGCTTATGATGGTCGGAAAAGTCTTTACACCGCCGGAGAACTTCCTTTCACTTGGAAAGAGTTCACCGTTAAGATTGTTGATGAAGACGACGGTATCATCAATGGTCCTAAGTATGTATCTCTCTTACGTTTTTAGGTGATTTTTGTTTTATGTGTGTTTTATTTGAGTTTGACACATTGTGCAATGTTTTGTAGAAGGGAGAGATCATACAAGGTGGCTATTAAGTTTGTTGCACGAGCAAATATGCATCATTTAGGCGAGTTTCTAGCTGGTAAACGAGCAGATCATCCGCAAGAGGCGTTGCAGATTCTTGACATTGTACTCAGGGAACTGTCGGTTAAGAGGTTTTGTCCCGTTGGAAGATCTTTTTTTTCGCCTGATATTAGAACTCCTCAGAGACTTGGTGAAGGGTTAGAGTCATGGTGTGGGTTTTACCAGAGTATTAGACCTACTCAGATGGGTTTATCGCTTAATATCGGTAAAAATTGACTTAAGAGATAGTTACATGTTTTGGTCTTATATAATATAAGTATATAACCAACCCAACCTTATATCTTTATTCTTGCTTTCTTTTGTTACTTTGTAGATATGGCTTCAGCTGCATTTATCGAGCCTCTCCCGGTGATAGAGTTTGTAGCACAGCTTCTTGGGAAAGATGTCTTGTCGAAGCCATTGTCTGATTCTGATCGAGTCAAGGTATATTTCTTTATTGTACTATCTCTTGTCTGGAGTCCTCAAGTGTTCTCTCAATACTGTATTTTTGTTTTTGTTCTTGGGATTTGTAACAGATTAAGAAGGGTCTCAGGGGAGTGAAAGTAGAGGTTACACACAGAGCAAACGTAAGAAGGAAATATCGTGTTGCGGGTTTAACAACTCAACCAACAAGAGAACTTATGTGAGCAACTCTTTTCTTAATTACATTATGATCACTAAAGGTGGTTTCAGTGAAATTGATCAACTTTTTCTGGCTTATGATTCTTAGGTTTCCAGTTGATGAGAATTGTACAATGAAGTCGGTTATTGAGTATTTCCAAGAGATGTATGGATTCACGATCCAGCACACGCATTTGCCTTGTCTTCAAGTTGGAAACCAAAAGAAGGCAAGCTATTTGCCAATGGAGGTAAAAAGAAAACCGATTTTCGTGTATTGCAAATGATTTCAATTCTTGGTTATTATATTATTCCTCTGATTCGATTTTATATATGTAGGCGTGTAAAATTGTTGAGGGGCAACGGTACACGAAAAGATTAAACGAGAAGCAGATTACGGCTCTCTTGAAAGTTACATGCCAGAGGCCAAGGGACAGGGAAAACGATATTTTGAAGGTAATTTATAATCTTTTATCTTTTATGGTTCTTTTCGAAGTAAGAGTGAGGATTAATCTTGGTATCCACAATGTTTTTAAAGACGGTCCAACACAACGCGTATGATCAAGATCCATATGCTAAGGAGTTTGGTGTCAATATAAGCGAAAAGTTAGCTTCCGTTGAAGCTCGGATTCTTCCAGCTCCTTGGGTAAAACACTAAACAAATATCTGAATTTTCTCAAAACTATGATACCGTTATGCTAATTCGCCTCTCTTTGCTTGCTACAGCTTAAGTATCACGAGAACGGGAAAGAAAAAGATTGCCTCCCGCAAGTTGGTCAATGGAATATGATGAATAAGAAAATGATCAACGGGATGACCGTGAGCAGATGGGCTTGTGTTAACTTTTCACGCAGCGTTCAAGAGAACGTTGCTCGCGCATTTTGTAATGAACTTGGTCAGATGTGCGAAGTCTCGGGCATGGTAAATATATTTGTGTTTTTTGTTTCCTTGCTGCATTTTTGATAATCTCTTTTTAACTAGAAGTGTTTCTTATCATAAACTTTTTCTTCGTTTGTTATTATAGGAGTTTAATCCGGAACCCGTGATCCCCATTTACAGCGCGAGGCCTGACCAAGTCGAGAAAGCTCTAAAGCATGTTTACCACACTGCAATGAACAAAACCAAAGGCAAAGAGCTAGAACTTCTGTTGGTGATTTTACCTGATAACAACGGTTCACTTTACGGTATTATCCATCTCTACATCCACAAACTATACTTTTTTGTCTTTTTGAGTGTGATCATGATGAAACGAAATGTTTCTTATTATCTCAGGGGATCTTAAGAGAATCTGTGAAACCGAGCTTGGTTTGATATCTCAATGTTGTCTCACAAAGCATGTGTTCAAGATTAGCAAACAGTATCTTGCAAATGTATCCCTTAAAATCAATGTGAAGGTGAAAATTTTCTACCAGCTTAATTTGGAGTTTTCTATTGTTCGAACTCAATGAATCTCTGAGATAAATCTCTGTTGTCTTCAGATGGGAGGAAGGAACACCGTTCTATTAGATGCCATAAGCTGTAGAATTCCGCTAGTCAGCGATATACCGACAATTATATTTGGCGCAGATGTGACTCACCCAGAGAACGGGGAAGACTCGAGCCCTTCAATCGCCGCTGTAAGAATATACAACTACTCAATTAATTACACACTTTTATCAAGTAGCAGACATCGAAATTCATTGGACTCGGTTTTCTGGTTGTAGGTTGTTGCCTCTCAAGACTGGCCTGAAGTTACAAAATATGCGGGTTTAGTTTGTGCTCAAGCTCACAGGCAAGAACTTATACAAGATTTGTATAAAACATGGCAAGATCCAGTACGTGGCACTGTTAGTGGCGGTATGATCAGGTAATAAATGGCGATATTTTTAGTTTTTGCGGTTTAAATTATATCAGTTGTTTCACAAGCTTTTGGTTGCTTTTATTACAGGGACCTTCTGATATCATTCAGGAAAGCAACAGGGCAGAAACCACTTCGTATCATCTTTTACCGGTCGGTTTCTCTTCACTTATTTCAGTAAAAAAATCATATGTAAAACCGTAATTTGTTCTCATTGGTGTTTTATTCGGTCAGTGATGGAGTAAGCGAAGGGCAGTTTTATCAAGTTTTACTCTACGAGTTGGATGCAATTCGTAAGGTAATAACTTTTACTTTTTGTTATCTCTTCTCCCTCGCAATGTTGCCTGATTTTACAGCAAAACATTTACGTCGGGTTTGTGTTTAGGCTTGTGCATCGCTTGAACCGAATTATCAGCCACCTGTGACATTCATCGTTGTACAGAAGCGGCATCACACACGCTTGTTTGCTAATAATCACCGAGACAAAAGCAGTACTGACCGAAGTGGAAATATCTTACCAGGTCAGTTCTTGAAATTGGTTGAAAGAAGATGATCATAACAG